TGGTCTGTGAAATCTTGCCAGGAAAACAGATGACAGCCAGGTACCAGTGAGCCCTGAGGACACATTACACAGGAGGGGCTCTTATTAAGACACACTCTTTATTTTACCTACAACCTGAAAGTCTGCAAGAACATTTTGGGATGCAGGATGTGCAGCTTTGTTAAGAGACTCACATTTGATTAATCGGGACAAATATAAAGTCCTTGTCAAAAAGGTTGACGCTCCTGGTCCACGTTTTCACCCGACAGTGCCGGTGCTCTTGCATGCTGCAATACAGTGCAGTGCATTCACACCAGTTATGGTTATGTACTTTTTACACTACCATATTCTATACTTACGATAAATGTGTAGTTCCTGGAAGCCTTGTATGATCTTTTTGAGTGAGGCACTTGAAGAAACCAAATATACACAGAAATCTATCTAGAAAATAGAAAACATTTTACTAAGTGCTGTATCGTGGAACAGTTTGGATTTCCATGTTCTCTCATTCAAAAAGAAGCAAAATAATTAAGCTAACAGATTTTGTCCTTTATCTACACCACCATTTTGCTCTGGCACCACATTGGTTTTCTAAATTACCTATGGATTGACTCCATCTGGAGAGCTGCTTTGAGGATTCTGGAGAGTAGAAGAGCGGCATGGGATTGGGTGGAGATTGATCACAAAGATACTCCACTGAATACCTTCGCCCACTGATCCAAACCACTGGTCTGTGAAATCTTGCCAGGAAAACAGATGACAGCCAGGTACCAGTGAGCCCTGAGGACACATTACACAGGAGGGGCTCTTATTAAGACACACTCTTTATTTTACCTACAACCTACACAACCTGAAAGTCTGCAAGAACATTTTGGGATGCAGGATGTGCAGCTTTGTTAAGAGACTCACATTTGATTAATCGGGACAAATATAAAGTCCTTGTCAAAAAGGTTGACGCTCCTGGTCCACGTTTTCACCCGACAGTGCCGGTGCTCTTGCATGCTGCAATACAGTGCAGTGCAGTGTGTTCACACCAGTTATGGTTATGTACTTTTTACACTACCATATTCTATACTTACAATAAATGTGTAGTTCCTGGAAGCCTTGTATGATCTTTTTGAGTGAGGCACTTGAAGAAGAACGAGCTGAACACATGGTACTTGGAGGCATCCTCCTTTTCCAGCTTCTCGCAGACCAAATACCTGGCCAAAATACAAGACTTATGTCATTACAGTGCCAATATACTGAAGTAGATAGCCACAATTTCAAAAACGTTAACCTAAGTCTATTATCACATCGTTTAGGATTTCTCCTTCCTCAAGACAGTTGAGGTCCTCCTCGGGGATGGTTATACCCCCCTTGACTGGAGGAGGTGGGTACACAACCAGTCTGCAAAGAGATGGTGAGAAGAGTTCTTCTAGATAATAATATCACAATAACTGAGGCCGGGCCAACTGACGTTTTGATATCCTGTTGAGGCGATGAAGGAAGCTCTATCAAATTGTCCTCATCACTGTCTGAGACACTGAGGGCTGCAATTTCATATCGATGAGGATCAGGAGAGGCCGAGCCCTGCACCAAGCCCTGCTAAACACTGAGAGAAAGAGCTAAACAACTGAAAAACATGTTAAAGGAAGATTTATTTTGCTCTATTATATAGCTGGTGCTCAAAGATGAATATCTTGTTGATTCTGTGGTAATATAAAAGGAAAAGGAAAGGTACGAGAAAGAGGAAGTATGAAAAAAGAAAAGAAAGTTTAAGACAAGTTTAAGAAATAAATAGTTTTCTCTAATACAGTAAGAGGACGTGTGTCTATATCGTCCTAATGCACGGTGAGGAGGAGAGTGTGAGTGGCCAAAGACTCCAAGAATCACAGCTGGAGAACTGCAGAAAATAGTTGAGTCTTGGGGTCAGAAAGCCTCAAAAAACAAAAACAAACAAAAAAATATGCAATAAATATGCAAAACAAACTCCAGCATATTTATTTGCTAGACACGACTGGAACTTTAAACGGGACTGGGCTCAATGGTCAGATTAAACTAAAAAAAGTAGCTTTTTAGCAGCAAACACTCAAGATGGGTTTGGTGCAAACAGTGATAAAAAAGTACCCCATGTGTACAATGAAATATACTGCTGGATCTTTAATGTTGTGGGCCTATTTTTCTGCCGGAGATCCTGGATATCTTGTTCAGATAGATGGCAAAATAGATTCTATAAAATACCAATGGATAAAAAATTTAAAACTGACTGTCAATGAAATCTTATAATGGGCCATGGTTAGATCTTTCAACAGGACAATGATCCACAAACAAACAAAAATGGGTCACTGTGAACAAAACCAAGCTTCTGCCCAGGCCAACCCAGTTCCCCGAGCTGAACCCTTTAGAAAATGAGTGTGGTGAACTGAAGAGGAGAAGCATCAACAGCTGAAATCTGAAGGGTCTGGAGAGATTCTGTATGAAGGAATGGTCTCTGATCTCCTGTCAGATGTTCTCTAAACTCTTCAGGCATTATAGGTGAAGACTCTGAGCTGTTCTCTTGGCAAAAGGAGGTTGCAAAAAGTATTGGATAAAAGGGTATGATTAATTGTGACCAATGTGTATTAGAGAAAAACATTTATTTCATAATGAGATTTCTCTCCCATTTTAAATTCTTATTCTCCAATGAAAGGTTAGATTTTAGTAATTTAAAAAAAATTAAATATCTAAAGGATTGATGATACAGATTAATTTTCACAGCCTTCTTTGATCATATTTACCAAGGGTATGAATAATTTTGAGCACAACTGTATGTACTAAATTTAGCACACAGTGTTACGGTAAAGTGATGCCGGAGTATGGAAGGGCACGAGAATCATTTGTTCACTTAAATGAATCGTTGAAACACGGATTCGCTTCCTCAATGAAGCATCACTATTTAGCGCAGCGGCCATACAGGTTTGTTCACATCAGACAGGTGTCGACCATCTGCTACAGAGTATCAGAGACTGAGCGTTTATCACCTGTGAGGTCAGTGACCTCTGAAGTTTCTAGTTTTGCACACTGCTTTTATGTGCGTGACCTCTTGGTTCCCCTGATCTGGTTTTTGGGTTGGCTGACTGTAGAATTGAAGTCAGCAGATGGTAAGTGCTATTGTAAGTCAATGGTCTGTTGTATTCTTGCAAAGTACAGTATTATTGCTGGTAATCAGCAGGTACCCCCCCAAAAAAATTGTACTATATTTTTCAGAAAGATTGATTGCATTGACATATATGCATTTTAAGAAATGCATGGACAAAATCTATTTTCACGAATGTTTATTTACTCAAAACAATTTATGCAAACACAATTATAGCCATATACTGAGACAATACAAGATGACTCAGGTTCTCAACACAGAGAGAAGTAGATTCAAACCAATGACATCTAGCGTCTCTGTTTAATTGGATCAGGGCCTTTTACAAATCTGATATGATTTACAGTTAAGAATGCACAGTCCATATTCTATTCAATAGCTGAGCTAAATAAATACAAAACAAAACACATAAATGCAGCAACACTAGCTAGCAGCAAAGGTCAGTTCAATTCGACATGACATCATCTGATCAGTAGTATCACATTTTTGATTGCCACTAAAATTAAATGTCCACAGTAACAATGAGTACTGTCCCTCATGCTCAATGGTGTCGTGAACACTAGATGAATATGAAGGTAATACAAATTTGCATCTATTTGGTGAGTTTCTATTTTGCAGTCTATGAGGTGTCAGAATAATGTCACAATCAAGCAGAAAAATATGATTTTCAAACAATCACTCATCAATTGTCAATGTATAACATTTACATGCTCCCTGGGTATAAGCAAAACAACCTGTGCCATAAGTTACTGTTGTCTCACGTATTTGAAAGCCTTGCTGACATATTTTAATGTCGTTTTTTTATTATTATTATTATTTACCCTGTCACTGGCTCATCCAATTAATTAAAAGTATAAAAGTCCTCTCTACAGCTCAGCATTTATTTCCATCATGTCACTGCCAAACTTGACATCAATATCTTTGCAGATATAAAAGATTCATAAGTTTGACATTACTGGGATTCTTCCTCATAGTGTCATTTAAGGGGATAGTTCATCTAAAAATGAAATTCTGTCATTATTTATTCACCTTCATGTCATTCCAAACATGTATGATATTTTGGTTGTACAATGACATACAATGCATGGAAACCAAA